GTTATGATTAACTAGTGGTGCAACTAGACCAGAAGTGGCCCTTTTTCGAGTCTACCATCTGCCCTGTTGGACAGCCTTTCGGAAGCAACGTGATTTCGCTCCTCTTTGTTTTCTTCCTCGCGCTGAACGTATCTGAGGCGTCTAGCTGCCCAGTCATCTATGAATTTCGACACCAACCGTCTCATGCAGTTGGTAGTGCCTATTGCACACAGATTAGGAATTACTGATTGGAAAGCAATCCTGTCGTCCAGCATGATAAAACATATTTGAACAGTACATTTGAATAGGCACTTCTGTTCTACAACACAGTTAAACTTAAATATAACCATTTTTTCACATGAAATAACCTCCCCACTCAGACCGTGCCACATCCCATGGACCTGATAATCGCCAACATCACTCTACTGATATTATCGAACGTTGTTACTAAAATCCTGTAAAACGGACGATCCAGCAATAGTATATTTTAACGTGCATAATTCTGAACTGTGCATCACTTACTAAACCTTTCAACACGAAAGTATTGAATTTTGTCCCTATAAACGTATGTCACCATCATTACATTTTATACCATATCAATAGAAATAAGTATCCATTAAATTGGCGCATAAATTTGTCAGGATTTCGTTTTCTGTGGTTTTATGACGAACGCTGCCACCAAGAAAATTGATAAGGTGTTATATTCGGCTGAAAAATGTCGAAAATCTCCACGTCCATCTCCAGTGAAGTTCTGTCTGAATTGATTAAGATTGTTCCTATCTTCCAAAAAATTGTCCCCTTTTCCTGTTCGCCCCACCACGCTGAATCACTTTCTCCAAGAATGCTAGCCACCCTCTCCTTTTGTTCAAGGCTCCCTATCTCAACGTCACTCGACTGCGCGCAGGCAGCTGTCTGCGCCCGACTGACCTGACACATTTCCGAGCGAATACACACACGTGTCTAAAACAGTCGCGGCTCCGAAAGTGTCACTTGAACACGTCATTCCTTAGCCAACAAAACTTTCTG